TATTCATTATCATGTGAGGAAGAGTGTAAAGCACGAAGGGTGATGCCGTGCCATTTTATATTCATTATCATGTGAGGAAGAGTATAAAGCACGAAGGGTGATGTCGTACCATTATTGAGAGTAAAAGCACGAAGGGTGATGCCGTGCCATATCATTTGAGAGTAAAAGCACGAAGGGTGATGCCGTGCCATTTCATTTATATTGTTATGATTGCGTATTATTGTGAGGTCATGGCACGATGTGTGCGTGCAGGCGAGGATGAGGGGCATGCATTATGTTTGATATCAGTTTTTCGTGTATACATTCATGTCTTTACCTTGAACTATTATTGTCATAATTATAGACCTGATGTGACTTGTTGCTATTGTTCTGTCATTGATCTTTATTTCAATTGTTGTTGCGTTGCTCATACCTTCTATTTGCTTAACTTGCAAAAATCATGCCTATTTCCTGCTTTTATAATTATACTCATGTTATATCTATTCTGTTGCACTTTAGTATAAGCCTTCCACCATGTTATCCATCCATGCCCTTACTTGTCAATTTGTAAATATCATATATTTCCATCTTATTTGTTATATTTGTACTTAGGCCTCCAATATGCTAGTTAATTGAAGTTGATATTCTTTGTTTTCCAAAGGTTGTTATTACTCACGTGCTTTTCTTAGTCTTTTACTGTTGCCACGTGTGTATCCTTGTCCATTGTTGTACTTGCATATTTCCTACTTTGTAATTTCTGCTATCCGGTTGGTTCTGTTACACGTACATTTGGAAGAATAAGTTGAACGCATGAATGGTGTTGCCTTGCTAATTGATTTGTCACTTAAATTATTTATATATGGTGAGGAAGAGATAGAAGCACGAAGGGTGTTTCCGTGCCATTTGACTTAATATCTTAGATATACTTCTCGTATTAGGAAAGATTGTAAATCTTCTACTGTGATTCCTTTTAGTAATTGTTCACTGTCTCGCAGAGTTGTGTACGGTACTTTTATCTATTATGCTTTGAAGTGCTTTTACTGTTAATCTAATGTATAAGTTATAACAATAAGCATCTTTTAACTAAAAGCCTCGTCACTACTTTGACGAAGTTAGACAAAATACTTACCAGTACATGGGGTCGGTTGTACTGATACTACACTTCTGTACGATGTATACAGATTTCTGGAGCTGAGCTGCTGTGAGGTCGGGTGCTGATTCTGAAGATGTTCGCGCATTCCGGATTTGGCTGCCTCTTGTCCATGGCAGCTTACATTTTACTATTCTGTTTATGTATCTTTCAAATAGAACATGTATTTATTTGTACCAACTTTGTAAATTTCAAGTCTCAGAAGCTCATGAGTCGTACTACCAGTTCTTGGATAAGTTTGTAAATGTTCAGTTATCTATTCTCTGTTATCTTATAATCATAGTTGAGTTGTATTTTTCTATTAGTTGGCTTACCTAGCGGGTTGAGTTAGGTGCCATCACGACCGGTAATTTTTGGGCCGTGACAAAAAATAATGTTATGGTGAAGTGATTACTATTGTTCATTCGGTCATTTTTTATGGTCCAACTAAATTTTATGCGGCTCGGAGCTGGTCTCCCCGAATTCAGCACATGCCATGAACTATAACATATGAAAATCTAGGAATCATGCAGAATTTTTTTTATGGCCCTAAAATACCAAAAAAAAGGAACGTTGATGGCGAAGCAATGACTATTTTTATTAGGTCATTATATATAGTCCGGCAAAATTAAGCGATTCGGAGTCGGTTGCCAGAATTTATGCAGATGGCGTGGACTATAACACACAAAAATCTGGGAATCATGTTGAATTCTAATTTTATGGTCCTACAACGCAAAAAACGAGAAAAAGTCATGGCGAAACGATGTTCATTAGGTCATTTTTTATGATCCCGCAAAATTTTAAGCGATTCGGACTCGGTCGCCCGAATTCATGTAGATGACGTGGACTATAGTACACAAAAATCTGGGAATCATGCTGATTTCCTATTTTATAGCCCTAAAATACCAAAAAAGGAGGAACGTTCATGGCGAAGTGATGATTATTATTTATTAGGTTATTGTTATAGTCCCACAAAATTTTAGGCAACCCGTAGCCGGTCACCCGAATTCATGCTGATGGTGTGGACTATAGAAATGAAAATCTCGGAATCGTGCTGAATTCCTATTTATGGCTCTAAAATGCCATAAAATGGGAAACGGTATTGGCGAAACAATGATTATTGTTCAATAGGTCATTTTTTATGGTCCCGCAAAATTTTAGGCATTTCGGAGCCGGTCATCTGAATTCATGCATATAGCGTGAACTAAAGCACACGAAATTTTAGAAATCATCTTAAATTCCTATTTTATGGCCCTAAAATACCCAAAAACAAAAAGAGAAAATGTTATGAAGAAGCGATGACTATTGTTCATTAGGTCGTTTTTTATGGTCCGCAAAATTTTAGGCAATTCAGAGTTGGTCGCCCGAATTTATACAGATGGCGTGGACTACAGCACACGAAAATATGAAAATCGTGTAAATTTCTATTTTATGGCCCTAAAATGCCAAGAACGAGGAACTGTCATGGCGAAGCGTTGGCTATTGTTCATGAAGTCATTTTTGATGGTCCCACAAAATTTTATGCGACTTAGAGCCGGTCGCCCGAATTCATGCAGATGGCATGAACTATAGCACACAAAATTTGGGAATCATGCTGAAATCCTATTTTATGGCTCTAAAATGCCCCAAAAAATAAGAAACGATCATGGCTTAGCGACAACTATTGTTCATTAGGTTATTTTTTATGGTCTCACAAAATTTTAGACGATTCGGAGCCGATCGCAAGAATTCATGCAGATGACATGGACTATAGCACACAAAATCTGGTAATCGTGCTGAATTCCTACTTTATAGCCCTAAAATGCTAAAAATGAGGAACAGTCATGGCCAAACGATTACTATTGTTCATTAGTTCATCTTTTTTGGTCCTACAAAAGCTTAGGCAATTTGAAGTCGGTCGCCCGAATTCATGCCGATGGCATAAATTATAGCACACGAAAATATGTGAATCGTGCTAAATTCCTGTTTTATGGCTAAAATGCCAAAAAAGAGGAACGATCATGGCGAAACGATGGCTATTATTCATGAGGTCATTTTTTATGGTTCCATAAAATTTTAGGCGATTCTGAGTCGGTCGATCGAATTCATGCAGATGGCGAGGACTATAACACACGAAAATCTGGGAATCATGCTGAATTCTTGCTTCATAGCCCTAAAATGCCAAAAAATAAAGAACGGTCATGACGAAGCGATGACTATTGTTCATTAAGTCGTTTCTGATAAATATTTTGGATGATTTGATACTGTAAAATTTTTCTTATATTGTCGGTTTAAATTGTAAACTCTTGAATAATTAAACAAAATGGTGACTCATCTATTCTATATTAAATGTACGAAGACCCTTAGCGAAATGTCGTTCACCTTTTTTACCCTTTAAAAATAGAGTTCACACTAAATAAAATAGTCATTCAAATTAATTTCCTAATAGTTTGGAATAATTATTTAATTATTTTTCTAATATTTAGGAATGTTTTAATTAATTTTCTATTATTTAGTAGTTTAAAATCAACTAATATTTACTAGAAATCTTTTCTTATTTAAAATATATAAGAAATATTAATATTTAGGACTTTAAAATTAACAAAAGTTTTACCTTATTTAAATTAACATACTTTTCATATTGAGATAATATGAATTATATTTTTTTGAAGCACATGGAACTCACTTGAGGAACAAAGAGTATGTTTATTATTTAAAACTTTAAATCAAAAGAACGCTATAAGTTATGCATTTTATTTGATTTTAGTTTTGGAAGAATTAGTTTTTAAATTTTAAAAAAGAATTCCTCTTTTAGGTTTTTGTTATCTTTTATACTTCGTATGTATTTTAGCTCATGATTACCTTTAATTATTGATATAATTATGAAACTCATGAAAAATATCAGTATTAATAGTAATATTCTCATGATAAATCTATTCAAATAATAAAAAAGACCATATTTCAGCAACATTCTTCATAAATTAAGAGAGATAATATCCAGTTGAATCTAAGTACAGTGTCACTAAATATTATGAATAAATAGCTTTTTAATTAGTTAACTATAATCCGCTTTTATAATTCAAAAAATTAAAAATGTATATGCAAATAAAAATAAATATTGCAAATATTGTTGTAATGATTTATCTAAATGCACATTGAAATTTACATGAAATGTTAATAGATTTTTATACATTTTGATAATTATATTACATTATGATACCTTCATATTGGTTAAATAATAATAATAAATATTAATTTTATGGTAATTAATTTTTTTGAAACACATGTAGTTAGGTTTAAACAATCCTCATCCAGTTAAATTTTTTGTATGATAGTTAAACCTGATAATATGGAGTCTCTTTTATTTTTTGTATTTTTCAGTTTAAGTTCCATTAAGGAATAAGATAAAATTTATATTATGTACTTGAGCAAATAGAATTTATTTTTTAAGGTCATGAAGAACATAATATTGTTACAAAATGTATTTTAGTACGAGTTAACATATTATTCAGTTATATTTAAGCCACTAATGTAAATGCACAACTCATATACCAAAGTTGATAAGACATTAGAATACTTTTGTGTGATGTACACGGTTTTTTCTGTATTAAAATGACTATATATGATCAATATTTATCATTTTCAAAAGCCTGTGCTTTTATTAGTTTTATTTTATAACTCAATTACATAAGTTAATATTATTTGTATAATTTTTAAAAGTTTATACTCATTAATATGAAGTATAGGGGCAACGCACATACTCTAAAGTTTGTGATATAAAACAAGTGAAGCTGAATATTGCGTAACTTATAACCTTTAATGCATGCCCGTAATAAGCGGACGTATGTATTCACCTTTGGCGTTAGGTTTTTCTTTTTATTTATTTTTTAAGAAAAAAACTAATCACTTAATCTATTGAGGGAAACATATCTTTCTCTCCATCTATCCAAGTAGAAGCAAACCCCTGTGGGATCTTCAAATTTAATTTGGAGAGCCACAAAAGGCTTAGTTTGTGACAAGACAGGTATATATCATCCAGGGCAAACTTTCATAGGGGGTTTCAGTTCAATCTCTTTTCGTTCCATCGAAAAATTATATTATATAAATAAGGTAAAAGTAAATTAATGCAAACGGAAAAAGTTACTCAAACTTTTTTTTACATCGTAAAATTGAATCTCAATTATCTTTGCATTTATTCAAATCTCATTATGTTATTAAAATTCCTGACTTCGCTTCTAGGTATCATTGTCGTGAAGCGGAATCTTTCAAAAAGAAAAGGCAATATGAGGCTCAACATAGGCATGTGTTTCATGGTTTTGTTCATGGCAACTCGTGTAAATAGCTTTGTGGGTATCACTTGGGGCAGGCAACAATCACAACAATTGGTTCCATCAATGGTTGTTGACTTACTTTTACAAAATAAAATTCCAGCATTGAGATTAATGACTTCAGCCAATGATATTATTGAAATATTTTCTGCTACTAATATTAGCATCTCTATTACCCTTGGACATCAAACCTTTAATTTGGTAAATAGGAAAGACCTCGCCTATATATGGGTAAATGATCGAGTCAAGGAACCTGTCAACAAAGGTGTAAATATAGTGTATGTTGTTCATTCTTTTTTTTCTTTTTTCTTTTTTTAAATCTCAACTTTTATTGCAATCTTTGTGATTTTATTATTTTTTCTTGTAATTTTTTTTAGGGAAGTAACTATTGGGTCTGAACCTTTTTCGAGATCGTTCTTTAGAGAAACTGCAAAGACCTATCAATTGATGAATGTGATAAAACTTGTACGAGGAGCTCTAAATGATATGGGTTTAGGGTATATAAGAACAACAACTTCCCATGGTATGGATGTATTAAAGCTTACAAAAATTCCATCAGAAGCCGATTTTCGCGATGATATAAAAACCCTAATGCTTGAATCATTAGAGTTCTTCAATCAAACAGGAACACCCTTTCTTTTGAACATGTTTCCAATCCAAATGGTTAGAGAAATACTTGAATGTCCAATGGAATTCGCGTTCTTTGATAATAAGAGCGAGTTCAAGATTCAAGATGGTAATATCACGTACAGAAATGCAGTGGAGTTAATGATTGATACCGTTGCATGGGCAATAACAAAAGCAGGATACCCTAATATGAAAATTATGATAGGTCAAATTGGTTGGCCAACAGACGGATATCCACATGCAAATATTGAAAATGCACGTAGATTTCACAAGGGTTTATTGAAATTTTTAGCATCAAATAAAGGAACACCTCTTAGGCCAGGGCCTATAGATGTATTTCTCCATAGTTTATCAGATGAAAATGAGTTTCGTGCTATATTTGGTGCATTTCAAAGACACTGGGGAATTTACGAAGCAGATGGAAATCCAAAATACAAGATTGATTTTTCATTACAAGATCGTGATATTTATCCAACTCAAGCTAAGGGTATTGTGACAATGCCAAATAGATGGTGTAAATTTGATGGGGACAATAGTGATAAAGATTTGGTTAATAAATATTATAATTTTGCATGTCAAGAAGCAGATTGTACACGTTTGGAAAAAGGAGGTTCGTGTGATGGATTAAGTGATGATTCTAAGATTTCTTATGCTTTTAATGCATATTTTCAAAAGGAGAAGCAAAAGGTAGAAGCTTGTGATTTTGATGGTTTAGGTGAAATTACAGCAGAAAATCCATCTGTGGGTAATTGTGAGTTTCCTATTGAGATATTGGCATTACAAGATCAAATTGGTAGAGATACTTCTATATCAATAAGAATTTGATGGAAATATCAAAAAAAATCTCATCTAAGAATCAAAGGCATCATATTTTGTGAAGAACATATGATTGTTGATCAAAGTATTTTTTCATTGTATGTCTTTATAATGGTGCCTTTTTTTTTTTTTTTTTTTTTTTTTTTTTTTTTTTTTGTATTTTGATAAGCGATAAATCTATAAATAACTATAAAAAGGTTATAGTGACTTTATACTAAATATATAAGAAATTAATTGCAATTATTATTTTTCCAATTTTCTTTTTTTTACTGATTATCCTTGTAAAATCTAGTATTTTGATTCCATTTGTATCACAATTTCATAAACTCTTCAAATTTGTTATCTGGCCCAGTTATTGTTGATTGTTGACTAGAACTTATTGTCTTAGTAGAATTCAGAACCCCCTATGTTTAAATCCTTGATCTAACACTAAAAATATGTGATAAAAAGAGTTGTACATATAAATTCACAAGATAAGTAGTATAATACTATTTATCTTTGTTTCGGTTTTATTATTGAGAAATTTTCAGAAACCACTATTGTTTAGTGACTATTAATTTTCTATAGTTACCATATACATAATTACTTCCTATAGCTACTATTCAGTTGTTATAGTAGTGTATTCGTTGTATTTGCGCTGTTGTATTCTGCCTAACAATCAGCATAGTCTAGATGTACGTGCATGAATTCACATGTATTCATGAATACAACAACAGAAAGCGCCTAAAATCAGGGCAGTCCAACTGTACGCACATGTATTCATCTGTTTTCGCGCTACTGTATTCATGAATATAGCAGTAAAAAGTGTCTAAAATCAGGGCAGTCCAGCTGTAAGCGCATGTATTTGCACCATGTATTCATGAATACAACAACAAAAAATGCCTAAAATCAGGGCAGTCCAGTTGTACGCGCATGTATTCACATGTATTCGCGATGTTGTATTCATGAATACAGCAATAAAAAGCGCTTAATATCAGGGTAGTTCAGCTGTACGCGCCATGTATTCATGAATACAGTAACGACAATCACCTTAAAAATATGTATGTCCAGCTGTCTAAGAGAGATGAAAAACATAAATAGCGTATTTCATGCCTCAATAGTAGTATATACCATAAATACTTATTTTGCTATAAAAATATAAAAGGTAGCTATAGAAAATAATATTTTAAAATAATTTTAATTTATAATAAATATGGTGTATATCTTTACTATAGGAGGTAAAATTCCCTTTATTATTTTGGTACAAGAAATAAATTCAATTTGGAATTTAAAAAACATTTTGGGCAGAAAGAAAAGTAAAAATTGGACGGGGCGCCCTATTTGGTCGTCCCCATTTAACCTATACCCATTTTTTTTAAAACTTTTAATTTGTACCCACTTTTTAAACAATTTCAGCCCTCTTTCTCTTCCTCAAAGTTATATCCGCCTCTTCTTTCTCAAACTTCTCCTTCTCCCTTTTCTGTAAGAAATCTGTTACGGCTATGTATATAAACTGTGAATGCAAGTTCCTTGGTGGTTGTCTGAGATTGTACAATATGGTGGAGCTACTGAATCTTTTGAATATGTCATTTTAGGAATCATTACTGTTCTTGGTAGTCTGAGTCTTTGTTGTTTTCATTTCAAAGTGGAATGTTTTTTCTGTGTTGCTTCTCTTTTACTGCATTACACGCCATTACCCTTAATCGCTGTCATTCTCTTATTTTAAAGCTGTAACTGAACCTATAAGCCAGACTTTGACTCCAACATATCATAAAGATAAATTCTCATAAGGATTTCCTAATTGTTTTGTATTTTCGAATATCAGTTGCTTAGCAATAAAAATGGCTGAGCAAAGCTGAGTGTGAGTTAGACGAAATGAGGTTGCTGCATTTAAAGCGGACGATAACATAAAAAGCTTATTTTTTCATAAAAAACTTCAGCTCTAGAGCTGAAGTTCGACAGTTACAAAACAAAAACTTCAGTTCTAGAGCTGAAGCTTACAAACAAAAACTTCATTTCGTCTAGCCAGGTAACACACACACACACTCTCAAATTCCATACTTATATATAAATTTTACGTTGTGTATTTGTATAGATAAAGTGAACTACTGTTGATGTTCATTTTATTAGGAATTGCTACTTGTTACTCGAAATTTACATATCTAGTTTATGTATATTGTATATCATGAAATTGTTTTTTTAATTCCTCCCGCTACCTGCTGCATTGTGTGTATGTGTAAATAAACTGAACTACTGTTAATGTTCATTTTATTAGGTGTTGCTACTTGTTATTCGGAATTTACATTTCTAGATTACGTATATTGTGGATCATGAAGTTGCTATTTAGTTCCACCAGCTACCAGCTCTAGAGCTGAAGCTTACAAACAAAAATTTCAGTTCTAGAGCTGAAGTTCGATAGTTAAAAAATAAAAACTTCAGCTCTAGAGTTGAAGCTTATAAAATAGAGCTGAAGTTTGATTGTTAAAAAATAAAAACTTCAACTCTAGAGCTGAAGCTTACAAACAAAAACTTCAGCAGCTGAAGTTCGTCAGTTACAAAATAAAAACTTCAGCTATAGAGCTGAACTTTAGGCCCGACTGCTAGAATGCTGAAGTTTTGTGCGATTGTCTTTGCTACTTCAGCCCCGTATGCTGAAGTTATGCGAAAAAATGGGTATACTTACAAATTTTTTTTGCAAAGCAAGCACAAGTTAAAACGTGACACAAAAAGCGGGTATAGATGCAAATGTGCCGAAAGAAAATGTATTATTAGGCCAATAGGTTTTCTTTCAAACTAATAAGCCCAAATCCTATCTAGCCGATGGGATAAGAATAATGGACCGTATAACAGATGCGAACTCCCCGTCCGTCTCTTTTTCCGGCGAGCTCCTCGGCGATGTCTATCTCCGGCGAATTCGAGTCGTAAGTTCTCTCATCGTCTCTTTAAATTTCTCTCTCTAGAATTCTTCTTCTCTGTCTCTAGTTATACAAAAACCCTAACCCCCTTTTACAAAATATTTTTTGTTATATAATACGGATTATGAATTGCCACTGTATGCTTCTTTGAGTTTTTCTATTTTATAATTTATTTGCGTACTCATTTGTCTTCTATGTGTAATTGGCTTGTAAAGTTATGATGTTTGATACAATTCGAACCAAAACTGAATCTGAAATGCGAAACTGGAGCTAAGATAAAACTAAGAAATAAGAAGAAACTAGAGATTCTCATTCATACTCTGAAAATGGAGCTCAAGCTCAATGCATATCAGATTTCAGCTCCAAAAGCGTGATTAAGGAGCTGGACTAGAAGTGACAAAATAGAGACTACAAACAGATAAATATGTAGATAATACAACTGATACATAGAAAAATATTAGGGTTGAAATGCAATCTCCCAAAAGTAATAACTAAGTCCCCCATCAGCCGTTTAGTACCCTCCCTTCGGATACACGTACTATTCACACAAGCACACACACAGTATCTACTCTCACTTCAGCTTACTTCAATGTTCTATTAAGCTGGCTTTAATTATTGCGAAGTATCTGTAAATTTATATTGGAAGAGTAAAAAGATATTAATGCCGTCAAAGATGAGAAAATTAACATTTTTTTGTGAGTTTTCAGCTTTTTTAGTTTTGGAGGTACTTAATATTTCATGCATTTGTCATCAATTTTATTCACATGGGCACTGAGTTTGATACTAGTACTTTAGGCAATGCAATAGTTATAATTTAATAGTACTCTCTCTATCAGATTAATTCTGATGGAAAAGGATATTAAAGTTATTGTTAAAACTAAAAATTTAGTTTCCTAGAGAAAACATCACGTCATTTACAATTTAAGTAGTCTAAGGAATTTGAATTCTTGAACGCGTGAAAGTTATAAACAATGAGATGATGTTAAACATTTTGGGACATTCCAAAACGACAAGAGGGACACATAAATTGGGATAGAAAACGCAGAGGAATTATTGATAGCCTACAAGGGCAATCTTCTAGATTTAGGAGAAGAGTAAAAATGTTCTTTGAGAATTTACCAGAATTTTTTTTCTTTTTAAGTAATATATGTTGCCGATTTTGCTAGGCTTCAAGCTTCCCTGTTATTGACTCAAGGTTTAAAGACGCCATACTATTTGCAAAAATGTCATGCTAGTGTGATTACAGTCAAATTGTTTTGAGTTCTCTTCTTTTGGCGCTGCTACTATTCTGTCCATCTATTTTTCGGGCAATTCTTCGGCCAGATCTATCTCCATCGAAATCTATTAGTAAGTTCACTTATGGTCTGTTTCGCTTTCTTCTCTAGGATTCCTATTCTCTGATTAAACAATAACAACAATAACAACCCAGTAAAATCCCACTAGTGGGGTCTGGGGAGGGTAGAGTGTATGTAGACCTTACCCCTAACCCAAGGGGTAGGGAGGCTGTTTCCGGGACACCCTCGGCTCAACAGAGGAGACAATAATATCAGAAAAGAAGAAAAGAATAAATCCGTAACAACAAAAGAGACCAGAAAAATAATAATCAGCATCGAAAGAGACAACAAATAAGTGGAAGGGTAATAACCCAATGCTATGCAAAATGAGAATCCTATTCTCTGATTCTAGTGAGAAAAAAAATCCTAGCCCCCTTTTACAATTATTTTTAGTGATGTAGTACGGCTTATGAGCTGCAGTGTGTGCTTCTCTGAGTTTTTATTTTCACAATTTATTTGCATTGTCATTTGTATTCTATGTGATATTGGCTCATGAATTATGATGTTCTATATATCTGCTTTTAATTATTGCAAAGTCTCTGTATACTTATAATGGAATGAGGAAAAGAGATGAATGTCGTCAAAGATGAAATTGCATGCTGTCGTCATCAATTCTATCCACACTGGCCACTTGAGTCTTGAAGTTTGTATGTTAGCAGATGTGAAAAATACTATCTTAATAATAAATACCCCTCCGTCATATATTTTTGATGGAAAAATATTAAATTCATGGTTAAAAAGTTAGTTTAATTGGGGAAAACATATTATCAAACTTAAATTTGTGTAGTTTAAGGAATATGAGTTCTTGATAGTGTGAGAGTTATATAAAAATGAGATGATGTTAAACATTCTCGGCCTTTCCAAAATGAAAAGAGGGACACATAAATTTAGATAGAGGGAGTAAACTTTTGTGTTATCATTGAACTTTAATGGCAAAATGTTACTTCATTTTGGATTGATTTATAGATCAGTTTCCCTTGGCATTTATATCTTTTCAAATTTGTAGGTCTCAAACACAACACAATAGGTTATTCTATTCGTTAATTTATTTGAGGGGTAATATTTATTCACCTTTTTTTTCCAGGGAAGTTAAGCTTGGAGAAAGCATGGGTAGCTTCTTTGTTCCACCTCCACCTATCTTTGACTTTGAATAGCTTTTTTCAAAGTTTTTCTCTTAAAACTCTCTGTAAGTCTTTCTGGCCGCTGCCTGTGAACAGATTGAGAAGGACTCATGACCGCGATCCAACTATGTGAATCGGTTGTCGATTTCTTCAAGTCCATTGGATTCACAGATGCACAAATCCAATCCGCTGTTCGTAATGTCCCGCAAATCCTCCTGGCCGATGTTGAAAAGACACTCAAGCCAAAGATCCAACTATTACAAGAATTGGGTATCACTGGTTCTGATCTGGGTAGGCTACTTTCCACAAAGGCAATTATATTAACACGTAGTGTGGAAAAAATACTAAAGCCTTGCATTGAAGTTCTCGATAAAGTCCTTATCAACGGTACTGATAATGGTGATTGGTTCCGGGTTCTGCGAAGGTGCGATTGGGTTGTTACACAAATCCCCTCACTTGAGACTGATTCCTAATATTTCATATCTGGAGAGCATTGGGATTGTTGGGTCTCAACTATCATCACTCTTGAAGAGGCAACCTCATCTTTTTGCTTTGCCTGAATCTGAGCTTAAAAAGCTTGTCTCTAAACTTATAGATATCGGATTTTCTACTGATTCAAGAATGTTGGTGCACGGCCTTCATTCGTTAGGTTGTATTAGTCATGAGTCTTTTTCAAGGAAATTGCTTTTGCTTCAGAGTTCTGGTTTCTCCATAAATGAGTGCATGGAGGTGTTTAGGAGGGCGCCAAGTTTATTCCGAAGTTCAGAGGAGAAAATAAGACTCGGACTAGAATTTTTCTTGGAAACAATGGAGTTAAAGAAGTCAACTTTAGTACAGCATCCTACACTTTTGATGTTTAGCATGGAGGATAGAGTGATTCCCAGATATCAAGTTATTCAGCTGATAAAGTCAAGAAAACTTGTGAAGAAAGAGCCAAGTTTTTATTATGTGATGTGTTTGTCGGGGCATGTGTTCTTTGAAAAGTATATATCGAGATTTACTGAAAATGCAGAGGAATTATTGATGGCTTACAAGGGCCATCTTCTAGATTTAGGAGAGGATTAAGAATGTTATGTTGAAAATTTTGCCGGCATTTTCTTTTCTTTTTTGATCTGTAAATTTTGCTACTAGGAGTTGCCTACTATTGACAAAAATATCATGCTAGTGTGATGACTATAAAGGGCAGTCTGATGCACTAAGCTCCCACTATGCGCGGGGTCCGGGTAAAAACCGGATTACAAAGGTCTATCGCACACAGTCTTACCCTTCATTTCTGTTAGTGTGATAACAATCTGGAATAAAAATGGTTGTGACAGATCTCATTATGGTTATAGCCTTCGAAAGTGCATAGTGAAGGTGCAGTCTGAACATGGAAAATACTGGATCACCTACCTAATGTCACCTTAAATTTTATTTTGTTGAGTTCACAATTCTATTTCTATTTGTTACTTTGACGAAAAATGATGCCTTCTGTGTGATATGGGAGGAGGCCTTGAACCAAATGGGTACTCACTGTTATACTCCCTTAATTTCAAAAATAATAGGCGCTATTTCCTTATTAGTCCGTTTCGAGAAGATTGACACATTCCTATATTTCTTTAATGGGAAGCATTTATGGTCACACAAATGTTATGACTTGGTTAAGATCACAAGTTTTAAAAACTTTAAAGCCACACAAATGTTATAACATATTTAAGGCCACAAGTATCAAAAAATTTCTTCTCTTTATTAAATTTTGTGTCAAGTTAAACTAGAACAAACAAATTGAAATGGGGGGAGTAACAATTAGAATATCTTTTTTTTTTTTTGGGTCTAATTCTTGGTGTGCAGAGTTATCCTGTACGTATTTTAGTATAAATGACACCAGGTAGCCACTCTAAAGAGCTGCTATTTAGAAATTAGCTAGTGCGTCTTGAATTTTATTTTTTCAGTTTAATTTTTCAAAATAAAAATGTCCTGAATTGTCCTGAAGTTAAGCTTTTTAGTTTAAAATTTTATGACAAAAATAAGTACCGAATAATCTCTAGATTGCATACCTGAGAATGACTATAGAATAACAGGAACTAATAGAATAATTAGAGTGTGTGAAAGCTAGACCCGCCGCCATCATAAAAAACAATATCATGCTAAGGAAAAAGACACTAACTAAAAAGGAAGGAGTAAAGGCTAAAGATATCATGTCAAGTAAAGCCGTTTAGATATCTATTACAAGGACAGTGTTTTGGCTGTCTCTCTTTTTTGGACTATAACAGCTGCTGAAACTGACGGCCCAGAAAGGAAGAGAAAATGAAGAATCTCTTGGAAGGGTATGATAAAAAGAACAAAGAAAAGTTGGATAAGTTTCAAATTACATAGCAAAAAGTTGGCCTTTTGCAATGATGAATGTGGACAAGAGTGTTATTTGGAGTGTTTGAAGCTTTTTGGAATCAGAAAATAAGCAAAATTACTGACTTTAAGGTGCATTATATCAGGAAAAAGAAGAAGTCTTGGGAATGTATGAACCATTACTTCATCTATATCTCAAACTAGAGAAAACATAAGATGATGGATGAAGCTTATCATGCTGGAAATTATTTTTCCTTCTAACTACTTAGGATTTGTCTTTCTTTTAATTAATGTGATGCTTATGTTTTCCTGAGCCGAGGATTTATTGGAAACAACCTCTCTACTTTCACAAGGTAGGGGTAAGGTCTGCGTACACACTACCCTCCCCAGACCCCACAATGTGGGATAATATTGGGTATGTTGTTGTTGTTGTTGTTGTTGTTCTAATTAGTTATGATTAAAATGTGGTTGTCTCAATCATATTTGATATTAAGTTCACATAGGGATATAATTTTGAGATTTAAAAAACTTCTAGTTTTAAAGAAATTCTAATTGCCTTATAGAACAAAATATATTTGATGTTTAATTTTTTTTATTTCTTTCCGTTCTTGCAAGATTTACACCCTTGGCACAACACTAAAAGTTGCCTCTGTATGACTTGGACGTCATGTGTTCAAGCCGCGGAAATAGACTCCTGTAGAAAGAAAGGTAAGACTGCGTAGATAAGACTCAATGTGGTTCGACTTTTTCTTGGACCCTACATATAGTGGGAGCTTAATCTTCGGAATTTGATAATGTAAATGCCCCTAAACAAAAACTCCTGGCTCTTTAAAAATAGGATGAGGACTACTTGTCTTTCCCTAATTTTTGCACTTTCTTTTCTTTAAAAATGAGTTAGCTAGTGAAGTTCACAACTTGACTTACAATGGCTGCACTCAATTTCTTCATAATCTTCACATCACTAGTCTTACCAATTGCATCTGATCCTCTGTTGTCAACTTATGTTGTCCATGTTGACACCAAAGCCAAGCCATCTCATTACTTAACTCAAGATGAATGGTATAATTCAGTGGTTGAGTCAGTTCTTGCAAACAAAATGGACTCAGATTCTACTTCTCCAAGATTGTTCTACTCATATGATGTAGTGTTACAAGGTTTTGCAGCAAGATTGACTGATCAAGAATCTGAAAAACTAAATAAATTTCCAGAAGTCATTCACATTTTCAAAGATCAGTCTAGAATCAAGCTTGACACAACACGTTCGCCGAATTTTCTTGGCCTAAACACAGGTTATGGTCTGTGGCCACAATCTAACTTTGGAGATGATGTTATAATTGGCCTTGTTGATACAGGGATTTGGCCTGAGAGTGAGAGTTTCAAGGACAATGGTATTGGTCCTATTCCAACAAGGTGGAAAGGTAAATGTGTTGATGGAATTGAATTCAACGCGACGAGTAGTTGTAACAGAAAACTTATTGGTGCTAGGAATTTCGTTAAGGGTGTTGAGAATGACTATCATCATCAATCGGCACGAGATCAAAATGGACATGGAACACATACTGCTTCAACTGCAGCAGGTACAGAGGTAAATGGTGCCAATGTATTTGGTTTTGCTAAAGGGAAAGCACGAGGGATTGCGAGTAAAGCTAGGATTGCAATGTACAAAGCTTGTGGGAGTAGTTCTTGTGCAGAATCTGATATTTTAGCAGCTATTGAAAGTGCTATAAAAGATGGCGTAGACATACTTTCGCTCTCTTTAGGATACGATGATGCTCCGTTTTATGAAAATCCAGTGGCAATTGCAACATTTGCTGCTGTTAAAAGGAACATATTTGTTGCTTCTTCAGCTGGAAATCTTGGACCTTATCCATTTTCAGTTCACAATACAGCACCTTGGGTTACAACAGTTGGAGCTGGATCACTTGATCGCGATTTCCCCGTTGAAATCAACTTATCAAACAACAAGACTTTTGTTGGTTCTTCTCTTTATCCAGGGAGAATCAGTGGTAAAAGTTACTCTCTTGTTTATATTGAAAATTGTTCTATAATGACAATCGATCGTTCTAAAGTTGAACGAAAGATTGTAGTTTGCAACACTAGTAAAATCGAAGCTCTTAGAAATGGGATTTTAATTCAGAAAGCAGGTGGTTTTGGACTGATTCAATTAAATCTTCCAACTGAAGGAGAAGGGATTAGAGCAATGGCTTACACATTGCCTTCTGCAACATTGGGTTATAAAGAAGGTATAGAGCTTCTTTCTTATATCAAATCCAATGCTAATCCAAGAGCAGGGTTCGTACGTCGAAAGGATACAGTAATTGGGAAAAAAGTTAGAGCTCCAATTGTTGCTAGCTTTTCTTCAAGAGGGCCTAATGTTGTTGTTCCTGAAGTCCTCAAACCTGACCTCATTGCTCCGGGTTTGAACATTCTTGCTGCATGGCCAGGTAACCAGAGACGGATCCAGGATTTATACCTTATGCATTCAACCTTTATTCTTTACCATTGACCCCACGACACTTTTAAACTTATGAGGTAGGAATTTTATACTTTTTGAAATTGTTGTGATTTTTCATATTGCGTGGAAGCAACCACTAATGCTTATGGTAGGATAGGCTGTCTACATCACACTCCTTAAGTGCGGCCCTTCGCCCGACCCTGCGTGAGCAAGGGATACTTTATGCACTAGTCTACCGCTTTTCTTTATTTAGTGATTCTTCACATTGTGTGTGTCTATGCAGGTGACATTTCCCCAACACGTCTCAAGATGGATCCAAGGAGAGTGAAGTTCAATATAAACTCGGGAACATCAATGGCGTGCCCTCACATAGCCGGAGTAGCTGCATTAGTCCGCGCTGTTCATCCAGATTGGTCCCCGGCTGCTATAAAATCCGCACTCATGACTACATCCACAGCATTCGACAATGCACAACTCCCTATCATAAAACACGAAGACATGGAGCTAGCAACTCCGATCAGCATTGGAGCCGGGCACGTGAACCCTGAATCGGCTATTGATCCGGGCCTAATATACGACACTGATACATCAGACTACATCAACCTACTATGCAGCTTGAATTACACAGAGAAACAAATGAAACTTTTCACGAACGAGTCAAATCCTTGCTCGGGTTTCACTGGATCTCCACTTGATCTTAACTATCCATCACTTTCTGTTATGTTCAGGCCTGATTCCTATGTTCATGTAGTTAAGAAGACACTGACACATGTCGCGGTATCTAAGCCCGAGGTGTACAAAGTAAAGATAGTGAATCTGAATTCTGAAAAGGTGAGTTTAAGTATAGAGCCAAGGAAGCTGATTTTCAATGAATCTTTACAGAAACAAAGCTATGTGGTCAAATTTGAGAGCCATTATGCATTCAACAGCAGCAGGAAAATAGCTGAGCAAATGGCGTTTGGTTCGATATTGTGGGAGAGTGAAAAGCACAATGTTAGGAGCCCCTTCGCTGTTATGTGGGTTCAGCAAAATTTCAATAACAGTAGATTATACAAATAACTTAATATGTACATTGTTGTATGTGTTATATCATCGTACCTCTAGCCTCCGAATATGTACTATGTTGTATCATCGTACCTCTAGCCTCCGAGTATGTATTATGTTGTATGTGTTGTATTATCGTACCTCTAACCTCTGAGTATGTACTATGTAGCATCATCGTACCTCTAGCCTCCGAGTATGTACTATGATATTTCATCGTACCTCTAGCATCCGAGTATGTACTATGTTGTATTATGGTACGTCTAGCCTCCCTTGTGATTTGGTAGTTGTTACAAAGACGATATCTTTATGTCTACTAAAGTATGTCCAGGTGCTAATCCACGAAAAAACAAGGGGACTATTTTGGCTAAATAAAGATAATGGAACTGAATCCAACTGTAATTTACACAGGTTTTGCTTATAAGAAAGGGTTATTCACAGAGCTGTTCAGCCTTGTATATCAGGAGCAATCCAATTTTAAAAATGAGTACAAAAAAGTACAAGGGAGTCCAACAAGTCTGGTTTATGGATTCTGCCAATTATATAAGAAAAGTATAGCTCGCATATCATAAGGTCCCGTAGCTCAGTTGGTTAGAGCGTTGGTCTTATGAGCCGAAGGTCGCGGGTTCGAGCCCCGCCGGGACCAAGGGTCGTATATATATATATGTTTTGCGAATTTTCTGCTTTCCAATATCTACAGAGGATAATCTGGTAGATTTATTGTGTGTTTTACTGTTGGATGAGGGATTTATAAGCTCCTATCAATGAAAACGTTTTATTGACGGACACAAATCGATGTTTTACTTGTCTGCCGTCCTTCCTACTGGTCAATGTCACACCCCTTTTTACCCCTCCAAAAGATATGTAATGTTATGGATTGTGGGTCTTTTCCAATTAAAGTGACAAATTCGAGTAAGGATTGTTTTATTTACAGAGTCGTCACTTGGAATTTAATTTTTTGGGTGTTCCAAGTCACCTTTTATTTGAAATCCCTATTCAAAAGAAATTTGACCATATTATTATTGGTCTGCGAAAACAAAGTCCATGTAAAAAATTCTGTTGACCGGAGAGAAGGTGTAAGGCATTCTCCGAGTCTCGTGGTTCTAGCACGGTCGCTTTATTGACTATATTTGGCTAATATTATTTTGAATAAATTGTGTTTTATTTGGTTCTCATATTTTTACCTATGCCCACTTTCATCGCTTGATTATTATTGAAAGACAAAATTACATTGTAAATAACGTTATAATTTTATTATGACTTTGCAGTTAAGGTCAAGTTACATAAGAGTGCACTCGAATTTGGAAATATGTACCATAATTATGCCACAGGAACTGTACTCATAGTCACGATAATTTATTATTGGCCGCATTTAAAGTATACCACAATATTCAAAGTAATTTAATTATTTGCTAAGTTTGGAATTATTATGAGGCTCTAAGGTTACATGGTAGAATTATGAAAAAGGTAAGATTGATTATTAAAGATTACTGGAGATGTCAATTATGCCGGGTATAGTAAGATGATGCGACTAGCAAATAAATTCTACTTATTCATTTTTTTATCTAGATTTAATTCTTGACGAAGAAAATTAATGGAATGAAATAAAAATTCATGCTAAACTCCAACGTGATCTCTACCAAATTAAGCAGTAGCTTATTTGACTTTTCCAATTCATGATTAATACTCACACCTAACATAAAGCCATAAGGACCTCACTTGACAAGAATAACTATTAAACAACATATGCACTTAGTAAAAGATTGATTCAAAACACGATAGAATTTGTCATTGATGAAACAAAGAGCAATAAACCAACTCAAACATTCATATTGATTCAATAGTTAAATAACACACCACATAATCACAACGATAATTCAAAACATGAAACTTTAGTAGAAATACTGATAAGAGCATGGAAACGAACCTGGAATATGCAACTGTTTTCAAATATATTGATAAGAAAAGATCTCTGATTGGTACATAACCTCGTTCAAAGTGAAGAGATCCAGAAACAAAAATGAGACCTTTATCGTCAACTCCTAACTGACCGCACGCCGGAACCTCGAACCAAGATCTCGTCGGAGACTTTTCCCGAACTGTTTTCACTCAATTTTTAGCGACCAAGAGTGACTTTTTTCTGTTGGTTTTGTGATGTTTGCGAGCTGGTTTTTGGAGGGAGAATCGATGCCCTTTTTTTTTAGTTTTGGAGCTGAAAGATTGGCATTAATGGAGGCAGGTTTTGCAACTATTTTGCTGCATTTTTGGGACAACTTTTGCTGTAATTTCGGGCTGCTTCTTTGTTTGTAGGTGAAGGTCTAAAGTGGATCTTGTATTTTTTTTAGAAGAAGATCGACGTGGGGAGGATGTCTTTTCTACGTGTGCTCGTTTATGTCTGAATGAAGAAGGTGAGGTTTAAGCCCTTTTTTCTTTTGAATGTGAAGGAGAGGCCAGAGTCAAAAAAGTGTGTGCTGTGCGTTATCTTTTGTGAGTCAAAAAGTGTGTGACGTGCATGGTCTTTTTGTGCCCATTCAAAAAATCACAATAATATGGTGCCTTTTAGTCAAAAACGTGATGGGAGGGAGTAAATCCAAAAGTTGTTAAAGTCCAAATGGTCCCACTAAATTGAAAAACATATCCCATAATTTGTTCTGGAAAAGATTCTCTTCTATAAAATGGTATAAATGAATTGAAGAGACTATTTTATTTTATTTTTTGGAAATTTTAAAGAATAAGAGACAAAATAGAGTAGTAGACCACGTGAGAGAGTGTAGGATTTGGAATTATATAATAAATAAATAAAATAAATACTACTACTATTACTAAATTAAAAATAATAAAATAGATATAGTAACTGTTCAATATTTATTTGGTTGAAATTTCTAACGTAGAAATCGACTAAACTAAATGGAAACAATATTTTTTTTTGCAAATTTTTCGTTCCTTTGCAAGAATAAAGTGGCTACTTAGAAAAATATAACTCTTTTTTTGTGATTTTTAATTTTCTTAGGTAAAACCTATAAAGGTGAAATAAAGATTAAATATATAAATTAGACTTTAAAATATTTATAAGTATGAAAATTTAAATATGGTCAAAAATTAGGTGCTCACAGCATACCCCTCTTTGTTTGGAAACATGAAGAGTTTTCAGACAAAGAAAATGTGAGCTATGTCACTAATTTTTGACTATATCATTATTTAAAAGGGAAGAAATAAAAGTGAAAAGAGTGCAACCGAGTCCTGGTTTTGGGCAGCCTACATATCCCGGGTTATAGGAAAATCAGGTCGCATGTAGTTCAAGGAGAATGGTGGAATGATGAGTTGAGGAGTCGAGTGAGGTTCCGTCGAAGCTCCCGTCTGCAATCTTGTTTATTACATCAAAGATATAAAAAGGTTACATTAAAGAAAAGGAAACTACAAAATCCTATCTATGTCTTCAGAAACTTGATCTTGTGTCTTGGTTGGTTCTTCATGCGGACCCTGATCTGAATCTTAATGCTTGTTAGCTGCAGGTATTGGTTCTTTCCTTTTTCAACTTCTCGGATTAAGGCGGGACATGCAAAGCTTGTGACTTCAACCATATCTTGAGCAGTCTGCATCTTTTCTCAGCTTCTGCACTTTAAATTCACTTCTTTTTGTTCTTTTCTTTATTCTGGATTGAGACTCATTCTTTTGGTCGTCTCAAACCCTGTGCCTCGATGTAAAACCTGCTCAGACACTAAAACAAACAAACGAACAAAATTTTTCTGCTCTAGTTTTCACTAGAAAAATTTCGTGAGTTATTTGTTTCTAAAATCTAAACTATTTCTTTATTTGAAAGCGATAAAATAAGAATTGTGTATCTTTGGGAGAAAGATATTAGGGAGTGGAGCCCTATATCTATAAATAACCTCAACTAGGGAGTGAACACCCTATGTTGGAGAAAGGCGACTAGTGGATGGAGACCCTATGTCTAAAAATCTCAATTAGAGATTGGAGCCCTATGTTGGCAAAATGCGACTAGGGAATGGAGGCCCAATGTCTAAAATCTCAACTAGGGATTGAAGCCCTATGTTGGCAAAAAGCGACTAGGGGATGGAGACCCTATGTCTAAAAATCTCAACTAGGGATTGGAGCCCTATGTTGGCAAAAGGTGACTAGGGAATGGAGGCCCTATGTCTAAAATCTCAACTAGGGATTGGAGCCCTATGTTGGCAAAAGGAAACTAGGGAATGGAGGCCCTATGTCTAAAAATCTCAACTAGGGATTGGAGCCCTATGTTGGCAAAAGGCGACTAGAGAATGGAGGCCCTATGTCTAAAAATCTCAACTAGGGATTGGAGCCCTATGTTGGCAAAACACGACTAGGGAATGAAGGTCCTATGTCTAAAATTTCAACTAGGGAGTGGAGCCCTATGTTGGCAAAAGGCGACTAGGGAATGAAGGCCCTATGTCTAAAAATCTCAACTAGGGATTGGAGCTCTATGTTGGCAAAAGGTGACTAGGGAGTGGAGACTCTATGTCTAAAATAATCTCAACTAGGGAGTGGAGACCCTATGTTGGCAAAAGGCGACTAGGGAATGGAGATACTATGTCTAAAATAATCTCAACTAGGGAGTGAAGACCCTATGTTGGTAAAAGGCGACTAGGGAGTGGAGACCCTATATCTAAAATAATCTCAACTAGGGAGATGAGACCCTATATGGGCAAATCATAAAAATTGAGATTGGGGATCTAAGCTACTTTTTTTTTTTTTGAATTTTTCTTCTTATCTCTTTTAGTTTTTTCAATCTTGTCTTGTTTTCTCTTCCCTTTTTTTTATTTTCATGGAATGAGTAAATGCGGGAAAAATTTGGAGGGGACTTCTCTTTTTATGGATTGTTGTTGCAAAGCTGTTTTTAGCACTTGCACATTTCTTTTTGGTTGTACCTGCTTTTTGCAAGGCTACTTTGGATTACACCTGTTTCAAGTTTTCAAATAAAGAACAATTGTTAGTTTGAAACGGTGGTTGGTTTTGTGGTCTTGATTGTTTCAATCACTCAATCTCGGCCCTTTCAACTGCAACTGGTTGCTTCCTGAATACCGACTGCATTTCTGACTCTGGAGAAACTCTGGCTTTTCCAGACTTTGTCATGATGATTGGTTGGTGGAACTCAACCTTTTCGACTTTATCTTGCCTTCGTAGGTCTTTACCTTCTGATTTCTCTTTT